TTTCTTCTAATTATTCATTCTTCGTGCCTTTCATTTTTCTTATTCTCACAGTATTTCTTTTTCTTTCTTTCTTTCTTTCTTTTCTTTCTCCCACCCTTTTTCCTTCCTTCCATCCTTCCTTCCTTCCTTTCTGTCTTTCTTTCTTTCTTCTAATTATTCATTCTTCGTGCCTTTCATTTTTCTTGTTCTGCCAGTATTTCTTTCTTTCCTTCTTTCTTTCTTTCTTTCTTTCCTTCTTTCTTTCTTCTTCCCTTTCTTTCTTTCTTTCTTTCATCTATTCATTCTTCGTGCCTTTTATGTTCTTATTCTCCCAGTATCTCTTTCTTACGTTCTTTCTTTCTACCTGTCTTTCTTTGTTCCTTTCGTTCTTTATTTATTTATTCCGTTTTTCTTTCTTTCTTTCTTTCTTTCTTTCATCTATTCATTCTTCGAGCCTTTCATTTTTCTTGTTATCCCAGAATTTGTTTGTTTGTGCCTTTCTTTCTTTCTTTCTTTCTTTCTTTCTTTCTTTCTTTCTTTCTTTCTTTCGTTGTTTCTTCCTCCCTGCCCTCCCCCAACTTCGTTTCTTTCTTTTTTTTTTCCTTTCTTTCTTCCTTTCTTTCTTCCTTTCTTTCTTCTAACTATTTATTCTTTGTGCCTTTCTTGTTCTTTCATCATGTCTTTCTCCCAATATCTCTTGTTTTCATTCTTTTTTTTCTTGATTTCTTTCTGTCTTACTTTCTTTTAACGAGAAAACATGAAAGACACAAAGAATGAATAGTTAAAAGAAATATAGAAAGAAAGGAAGAAAACAAGGGGAAAAAAAGCATGAATGACAAGAAAGGATGTCAGAATTTTTTTTTAAACTTATAAATTTTTTTTAAAAAATCAAAGAAACATTGAAAACAAACAAAATGTTAAAAACGAAAAAAAAAAAAGACAAGAAGTCAACTTTTCATAGCCTGTGTCCAACCAGCGGAAATCTTCTAAACAAACCTCGACACTCGCCTCTTTCTCTCGTCTCTACTTCAACTGACTACAAATAGTTGTAGATTGAAAAAAATAATTATGAATTCATTCATAACAGAAAATTCCTGAAAATACAACCATTTTTTTAAAATAAATACATCGTTTATATTAATAAAGTCACACGAGTCATACACGTGTTATTGCACGTGTCATGTACACTACAAATACACAATCCGAGACTTGGTAAAAACGGTAGACAACTGCGTTCCATCTTAATCTTGTAAATGTTAGGCGTATCGTATAATTTCTTCAAGACAAATCCATTCATTCATCGATTAATTCAGTTTAATTAATACGAAGCAACACCGATAATTCAGGAAATACTTCCCGGTATTCTCTCTACTGAAATATTATTCGATATAGATGATGCAAATATTAACAGCGACTTATCTGACTCATTTAAAGATAGAGTATGGCAAATGGAATCGGGTGCTTTCTGGTACGCTAAAGCATTTTTCAAATGTCTTTAGAGATGGATCGTATGAGTTCCACTTGAGCTTTGGGCTGAAGCCTCAATAGACGCTCAAAGTTAGGACCTTCTTTGAAATTGCAACCATTCATCGTAACGATGAAAAACTACTCGTTTGGTTTTTGTGGTATTGAAAGTTACAATCTATCCCCACCGTGTTGAGGTATTCGATCTCGGTCAGATGAGAAATCAGCTGCCACGGTCTGGTCATCTCTTATTTTTGGCGGTGTACCCATAGACTTGTAAAATCTGCATAGATATTTACTAATGATCTGAGAATATTCTTAAGCATATCCTTACTATAAATCAGATAGAGAGTCTGGCCCGTGCAAATGAACCTTGTGGGACGCCTGCATTGATCTCGCAGGCTTCAGAAGCCTAACCATTGACAACGACTTTGAAGGACCTATCTGTTAGGAACGACTTGATCAGGGCATGGATTCATCCAGAGATTTCATAACTGGAGAGTTTTTGTAACAACCCCCTATGCCACGTCAGGCCTTTCAGATATTGAAGGCGATCGCTCTCTTGATGAATTTATTCATGAGTGCTTACCTGATTCAACATGATGCACCAATTCTAATATTCACTTCTAAGAACTGCCAAAACCCGTGTAGCGAACCGCCATTATACCTTCGTATTACATTGGTGAGACGTAAATTCCACTTGAACAGCTTCTTCTCACGAACTGCTACTTTATCGAGCCGACTCCCAAGGGGATACTTCCCTGATCACTACAATCTTAACCTGTTAACTGTTTTATTTTAATTTTTAAAAAAAGGAGCAATATACATGTTGCCCTTTTTTAAATCAAAATAAAACAGTTAACTCAAGATTTTTAAATATTTAAAATAAATACATAAACAAGATACAAATGCATAGAAATAATAACATAAAAAAATAAACAAAAATTCAACAACATTTAATCACTTTCATTGATTATATCATTGCGATTTCTTGCTTTTTATATACAGTGATGTTCTCTGCTATGATTAAAGTGTTTTTGTAATATCTGTCTATATATCTGAGATTAGGTATTATGATTACTAACATTATTTACATTATTCGGACTGTTCTCCTCATCTTTATTGACATATTCACAATGTTTCGACCGTTGTACGCTCCGGTCTTCATCAGGTGATTGGAATTTAGAATCGAGCCCTTTATTTCGTCCACCGGGGAAGATTGTTCTAGTTCCATGTGCCATGCCTCTTCCGGAGGTCTCACTTATTTTTCTTTTAACTCAATTTTATCCACTGGGCCATGTGTCCTCAAGGACATTCTTTCGTTCCCCCAGCTAGGGGAATGCCACGTACAGTTGATCTTCATTCACTTCATATTCCATTAGTAAAGAGGAAGTTCCGTTGGGACCGCTACTTAACAGACAACCGAGAGGATGTTTCTCCAATTCCTATGATCATAAGCTCTTTAGGGTCAACTTTTATGTATCCTGCATATCTTTGTCAGTTATGTGCCATGCGTGATACACGCATAGGCGGTCCTGTACATGTATCTTTCGATACATGACTGACGAGGCAGATTTCTTTCTGCGGTAGACCAGTTGCTATCCACGCTTACAAAACCCGGTCTGTCCTGCAATTTACCCATAGCTGGGGGTAGAAGAAGAGGATTCATACCTTTCCCAAGTGTATTAGCACGTAAATGAATGTAATGGATTCAACTGGAATTCGAACTCGGCTCTCCGATTCTTCAATCCGAGCCGCTATCTATTACTCCACCATTTTTTATTATCTGCATATACCTCTCCAGAAAGTACCTGATTCCACTAGTCATACAAGAGTCATAACAAACCAAAAATGAAGTATAGCTGCCATACCTGGGCAGGAACTACCCAATCATCTCTTTCCAGTCTCAACAGAGTTCAAAGGCGTTTGCACCGCCTTGTTGGTGATGAATTATTTTCCAGCCTAAAACCCCTTTCCTACAGACGTTCCTATCGCTACTCAGTCGTTATTTCCATGGCAAATATTCAGATGAGCTAATTCCACCAGTTCAGACGTTTACAGCTGAGACCCGCCAGTCCATGTACTCAGCTCTTTCGTATTTCACTGCTAAAAAGGAAATTACATTCGGCCTGCTTTTTCACAAGAGAGAGGAAAGCAAGAAGAAAGGACTATTAACTATAAGAAATTATGGATAAGATAGCATAGGAAAGTGAGAAGAAATGACTATAAAAATTATACATAAGATAACAAAGGAAAGGGAGAAGAAAGGACTAACTATTAACTATAAGAAATTATAAGATAACAAAGGAAAGGGAGAATAATGGACTATTTATAAAATTATAGATAATATTGTATAAGAAAGCGAGAAGAAAGGACTAACTTTTAACTATAAAAATTATACATAAGATAATAAAGGAAAGTGAGAAAGAAAGGACTATTAATAAAAAAGACAATGTTTGGTCATCATCAAGCCCAATTTCATTCTCGATGTAATGAAAATGAAAATACTAAAAACTAATTTAGTCATCCATACACTAAGAAATAGATCCCCTTTCTCCACCACACACACGCACACAGACACACACACACACTCTCTCTCTCTCTCTCTCTCTCTTTTTCTTTCTCTCTCTCTCTCTCTCTCTCTCTCTCTCTCTCTCTCTCTCTCTCTCTTTCACACACAGGCGCGTGCGCATACATGTGAATAAGTAGACGTTTTTTTTCCTTCCAGCTGCTACCCTTTCTCTAGTCGCCCATCCGTACACCCATCAAAATGAGCACACTGAAACTCTCCGGTTTCTATGTCACTGTTTCACGCTTCAGATAAGCCTGGCCATTTTATGACAAAGAGACCCTCTCTCTTGAATTCCCCGTGCTAATCCACACGGACGATCCTGGGCGCTGGCAATAACCACTGAGCGATTTGTTTTCTTTGTGAAACCAACAAAAAGAAATTTACGTCTAACGTCTCGCGCCATAATCAATAGAGGCTATCCTGGTGCAGGCCTCAAACAAAATAACTGCCAACGCCGGAAAGGGGCTTCCGGTCTCATAGCAGTCTTCTGAAAAGAGCTTTTTTTCATTCATTGTTATTCAATGGTTTGTGGCGAGAGACAGCAACTAGACGCTTTGTTTGGAATATTGAATCAGTATGGACAAATGCCTACAACTACTATATTGCATATGTATTTTCTGTGTGTGGTTCTAAGAATATATACAGACAAGTTTATGTGCATATAAACTAAATACTTCGATGCATGTGATGGGTGAATATATATATATATATATACACACACACACACACACACACACACACACACACACACACACACACACACACACACACACACACACACACACACACACACAAACCAACCAACCAACCAACCAACCATACAGGTATGATAGCAGACGAATGAAAGAAAAATTATTGTGTTGTAAAGAAAGTTCTCGCACAAATTTTATTAATAACGATATGCAATGTTGTACGGGAATTTTGTTTCCAACCCAATGATTCATTTTTGCTGATAACCAAGAAAATGTTTACAAACAAAGTATGTCGAAACACTGGTTCCCGTAGAAGTTAAGCAATATCGATCCTGGTCAGTACCTAGATGGGTGACCGCTTGGGAATATCTGGTGCTGTAAGCTTGAATTTGCGGGTGGTATAATGGATAATGGCTCGAAGAGCTGTGTTACAATTCTATTTGGGTCCATTATATTCACTTACATGCAAATACCCTTGGGAAAGCCATGAATCCACATCTTCCCATACCTATGGGTTAATTAGTAAGACTTGTATCACTAAACTATTATTATCTCCAAAAATAAAATAAAATTGCATAGAAAATATTTATAATTCGACATTAAATAACCCATAGAGATGTTCATATGCAGCTAAACGAAAAACAGGCATGCACCTCGTTACTCCTGCTTGGTCTCACGCTGTCCGCTGACATGGGCTGGAATAAATACATTGAATTAATAGCTCCATCTAACGCAAAGAAAGTTGGCTTTCTCTGTGTCGTGCCAGAAAGTTTTTCTCGTCTGAGTCCATCTTTTAAATCTATAAATCAACCCTCCGTCCTTACATGGAATATTGTTGTGATATATGGTCCGGTGCTCTCGCTGTACGTCTCGAGGTCCTCGACAAAATCCAGAGACGAATATGCAAGATGATAGGTCCTGATCTGGCATCTCGTCTACAGTCGCTTTCTCACAGACGTGCCGTGGCTTCCCTCTGTCTCTTCTACAAGTATTTTCACGGCAACTGTTCGGACGAGCTACTTTCGCTGGTTGCCAGACTGCATGAATTTAAGCGAGCTACTAGGTTTGTATTTTGGTCCCACCCTTTAACTGTCGAAACGGTTAAATGTAACCGCCACTTCTACTCAAACAGCTTCTTCTCTCGTACTTCCTGTCTGTGGAGCTCCCTTCCTCTTGCTTGCTTCCCTGATAACTATAATCTTCAAATATTCAAATGTAATGTCAATCGACATCTTCTGATACCTTGATCTTGTACTCCGTCCTTCTCTGTATCATTTCCTCAAACACTCCTCTTTACTCCTGTTCTCAATCCTCTGTAACCCCTCGCGTGCTAGTGTCACTCCTGCTTGGGGTGAATTGCTTAAAAAAATAATTATTTGAAAATAATCAAAATCTGTCTAATAAAATATCGTGAAAATCAGGATGTTTTTCTCCTAACAAATTGTCTACTCTTCAAAAAAGATCGGTGTTCCTTGACAGGTGCCTCCTAAACGCTGATTTTCAAGGCAGGCTCTTCTTACTAGAATTATTGGTGAAACACAATCTTCTTGTTTCTTTCCTCCTTGGACTTTAAGAATCTTTCGAAATGTTAATTATTGAAAAGATAAATTCACCCAACTATGGATATATAATTTGAATATCAGTATCAAAGACAGGGCTAGAACCCTAGATATTAGGCTTTGAATTTTAACGCTCTCTTAACAAAAGATGAATAAAATGATACATATTTTAATATGATTCATCTAACAAATCTGTTGACTATTACATGTAATACTACAAATACAATATCAGATTTGTGCAAAAGTACCTAGTACCTTGTGAAAATATAGACTGAACATTTTAAGAAAGGCTGGAAAATTTTGAACATAACGAATAATAACAAACAAGATGGCGGCGTAGTGGAAATCGGAGAAATAACTTTGGTAGCCATAAATGGTTATTGAATGTCGTCTTCCAGTAAAGACTTTGTAACCAAATCAGTAATGCCGCTGTTACGGAAAAACAGGATCCCACTGATACAGAATAAGACATTAAATCGCGCTAAAAGACAGACCTTGCTTTGTTCCATTCCTGTTGAGTTCTTTCATGTTTAAGCATGAAACAGACTGTTACCGCTGGTTGTTGACCTCAATGTCCACTTTCATATATATATATATATATATATATATATATATATAAAGAACAGTAAGATATAAAATCTGGTGTTCTTATAGATATTTTTATTTTTACAAAATAGTGCTCAATGTAAATTTACAAAGCATTAATATTATAAATTAACTGATTTAAAATATGGTTTTTTTCGCTACACAGTTCTAACCATGTTTCAAAAATGGAAGCTAAATGCTTCGAATTTAATTTTGTAATTAAATTAAACACATTAGTTCCATTTCATCCTCAAGCGAATTTTGGAGTAACTTGTTTTTAAAATTACTGGGTTTTAAAGACAGCAAAAATCATAATTCACGATTCCAAGGATACAGAGAAATCCATTCATCCAGACAAGAGGTGCTTGCGTGTTCATTATCGCTGTATTTTTTTGTATCAGTTATTAGTTACATTTTGGTAGGGGTAGGGATGTATGAATTCTGACATCCGTTAAATGCAGGTCGTCTGAATTTTTTTTTTTAATTTATTGTTAACGGCAAAAATTCTTACAGCATTTTTTTCTATTTGTATGCTTAAAGATTTGGGGGGGGTGTTTAGGTTAGAATACGTTTTATTTAACTACGATTTTAAAAATATTTTCACTTTTAATTTTTAATATACTATATTTCTTTTTAAAAACAAGTAAATATATTAGAATTACTTACAGTATGTAAAATTATTTCACATCAAGTATAAGTATGTATATTACCAGGTCACAATTATTTTTAAATTTATATTTAAATATTATTTTACTAAAATTTATGACAATGACGGCAAAAATAGCTAATTCATTTCTCTGATTTAGTAAACTTTTATTTTTTATATTTTATACAAACCTAGTAATATATAGTTTCTCATGTAAGGACAAAGGACATGGGTCATTCAATGGCTTACATCTAGCTTTGCATATTAATTTCATTTTACTGTAGGTGATTTATTGGATTCTTTTAAGTGCTTGTAGTACTTTGAGAGAGGTGTTTAGGTTAGAATACGTTTTATTTAACTACAATTTTAGATACAACTTTAAAATATTTTCACTGTTAATTTTAATAGACTATTAGAAAAAAGTTTGTCACCTGGTTAATATTGATAAATGTTTTTCGTACTGATCTCATCGGTACCCTTTCGTTTGACTTTCTTTTATTGAACAACTTATCTACTCGACTTCATATATATATATATATATATATATATATATATATATATACAGGGCTAAATTCTCTGAAGGGAATTTGGTTGTCCGGTGCTGTTGAGCACTTTTTTGGATTAAGGCTTCAGCTCCTGTACCGTGGAACTTGTTTCACTTTATTTGAGCGCTTTTTTGCTATACTGGCAAGCCTTTCCAGGTAGGAAATATTTTGTTGTTGTTGTTGTTATTGTTGTTGTTGTTTTGCCACTTCAGACTTTGGCTGGATGATTTACCCTCCCTCTCAACCGTTCGGGTTTGGTTTGCTTATCAAAATGAACTCACCCGGTGGTATATAGGGTTTTCATCTTATTACAAGTAACTGGCTACCTGATGAATGCGTGAAAGCACATGAAACTACGAGTAGTGGCGCTAACCCGGTTATTTAAATATATATATATATATATATAGGGTGTTCACAAAAGTAACGCGCTTTTTTTCGAGTTGAGGTAGATAGGACGACGAATGGTCATCATAATCACCTGACCAACGGACTTTATTTTGAGTGTATTGAAAGACAGACTTAAACCAAAAACAATTCCTAAATTAAAACAAGCAATTTATGATAAATGTCCTGAAATGAATGTAGAATGATTTGTAGAAGTGTTACTGATAGGATTTAGTATTGTAGAGGGCCATTTGTGACATATTAAATAGCTTGTTAATCATAACAAATCATGTTCTTTTGATGTGACAATACTTATAAAAAATTTTAAAATCTTTTTGTTCAATATATTTTACTTTTTCTGCATCCTGTATATACCATTCTATTCATATATGCCTCTCCCTTTTTCTATTATCTCTCTATCGAAATATCTATTCTATTCTTACCATATCTACATGTCTAGTTACCTATTGCTATATATATATATATATATATATATATATATATATATATAAAAGAGAAATCAAGCCAAACTCTGAAAAAAGTGAACGACCATACCCCAAAAGAAAACAACAAAACACCGCAACTACACTGACCACCACACAACCAATGCAAACACAAAACAGACCAAATAAATACACCAACAGACAACCACCAGCACCACAACCAACAATAACAACACCGCCACCATCAACGATAGCTAGAACCTCAAAACAAGCACACACACAAAACAAACCACTAACTTACGCGGACATCCTTAGGGTGCCGTACAAATATACACAAACCAAAACACAGCAGCCCTTCTAGAGAACGCATAACCCCATTAGACATCCCAGACCACCTAGATTAGCCCCTAGTAGACAATCAACACTCAACCTTAAAAAAAAACGGAATAAGCACCCTAATAGGAGATATGATGCAGGCTTTCGAGCTTTTACGAAAGAACTTCGCCATGCTTGCAAATTCAAACTTGACCCATACGGGCGAGATATAAATTTAAGTAACAATAAATTTTCACTCAACACATTCAAGGTATTAAATAAAGGCCTAAGCTTTTGCCCTAGTCCCCCAAGGTTTGATAAAGACACCTTGGCAAAGGATCTGAAATCCTTCTTCAGAAGAATACGGTTAAAAGCCCACTACGGAGACAATGATCACACACCTTCCATACTTGGTACATTAAAAGAGAAGGATACTACCTACACCCCACAAAACACAGACATTACTATACAGACATTTGAAATAGCCATAGCAAATGACATAAAGAAAACAACTGCACGTAAGCTGCCACATGACAATATTACTGAAGGAGAACGTATAGCCCTCGACACACTGACACATAGAGATGACTTAATCATAACACAGGCGGACAAAGGGGGTGCGACAGTGATCTGGGGAATCGAAGAATACATAAAAGAGGCCAACAAACAGCTAGCCGACAAAGAAACCTATAAAAGCTTACCTACAGATCCCCTCCTCGAATACCAAAAATAATTAAATAGCTCACTAAACAAAATGCTTCGCAACAATCTAATCGACAAGGAAACATGCACAACACAAACAAACATCACACCTGCTCGTTTCTATCTCCTTCCTAAAATACACAAAAGCAACAACACAGGAAGGCCGGTTATTTTATCGTTCAACTTCCACACGACAAAAATTT